CACATGACCCTCCCGACCGAGCAGGAAGGCGCCCTTCCGCAGGATGAGCTGCAGCTGACGGATGCCTGCAGACAGGCAGTAACGGGGGAAGTGATGTCATTGTTTTGGGTCTTTGACGGATATGGGTATTGGTTCAGAGACTCACTGATGTGGTCGATGGCACCGGCGCAGAACTTTCCACAGAACTTTTTGGCACCAAGGCCCCGCAGGTCATGGATGGTGAAGGGCCACAGGTGTAGCACGTTGTTCCGCGAGAATGAGTCTCTCTTCTCCACCAGCACCACCCGGGCTCCCATGAAGCTCAGCTCAACCGCTGTCCGCAGGCCACAAGGTCCGGCCCCAATGACCACACACTGACCAATCAGAGAGAGAGAAGGATGAAGGTTGGACATATAAAAGAAAGATAAGGACCACATATAAAACTGTCAAACCCACAGTGGTGCCGCTGCAGACTCGGCCCTTCTCGTACTCCCTCTGCGCCGCCCTTCTGTCCAGTTTGGCCCACAGCGCATTAGCCCTCCAGTAGTTGAGGTGCTCTCTGATGGCTCGGTACAGAGGCCTCTCACTGACACCTGGGTCGACCTGCAAGTCTTCACAGAGCTGACGGAAGGTCCACAACGCCGCCCTGCAGGTCGACGCTGACACAAACTCATCAAACAGCTCTTGAGCATGGCTTTCTGGGTAAGCTTGGTCTCCCATGGTGACCCTTAAGGAATGAGGTCACCATGGGAAGAGGGTCACCTGGCAATGATGTCAGAGGTGGAATCCAGCTTGCCTCTAGAGAGAGACGGACCAGATGCTGCAAGAACAAACTCGGGTTAAAATGAACAAAAGTCCAACACAGCTGCAGGTGTAAAGATCTGGTTCAAGAGAAGAAGAGTTGGGCGACGTGGGAAACTAAGGGCTGCAGCTGTCAATCACTGTTCAAATTTTAGTTAAGACCCATTTAGACTACATTCATATTGGCTGCTTTTGGCATTACCCATGTTTCCACTAGATGGCGCAACATAGACAAACTTGGGGAGACAGGGTCCTAGATTAATGGGGACTTGAAAATTAGAACAGACTAAACAATGAGGCGTGTATACACACAGACTATAGGCCACAGACTATAGGCCACAGACTATAGGCCACAGACTATACTGTAGGCCAGAGACTATTTGTCGGGACGCTCAAAAAAAAAAAAAATCAAAATTGCATTTTTGTCAAACGTTATTCTATTTATTGATATTTATTTTGGAATCCAGTCTTGGGCCGGATTGGACTGTTTGCTGTAGCGACCCCTGCTGGAGCATTTTGTTCACAATTAAATTATTTTCACAGTGGAGAGTCATGGAGCTTTAGGATCATGACAAAACTAAAAAAATCCTCCATGAGTCCAATTTGAAACATAAATATATGGATCATGACAAAACTTAAAAAATCCTCCATGAGTCCAATTTGAACCCTTTTTTTTAATTAATCTGGTTCACACTAAAGGACAACCACGTTAACAGTGAACACAGCAGACTTCACACTCCTTTAGTTCTCCTGCTGGTCACATGACCAGTTGTCATTCATATCAGTGTGAATGGAAACAAAGCAGCACAGAAAGAGGAGATCCAGCAGTACCAACCACCGATACAATACACACACACACACTCTCTAACACACACACACACTTACACAGACATCAGTGTTTACCATTGTGATTGTAAAACATAATACATCTCAGCTCTCAGTGGCTTGTTTCATCATGTCTACACATCTTGCTGATTTCTTTTCAAGACACACCAACGAGTCACAAATACACAACTGTCCATCAGAGACAACAACAAAAACATCTACATTATAAGCTCACCTCAGCATGTGTGTACGAGTGTGTGTGTGTGTGTGTGTCTATACTCACGAATCAGAGAGCGACCGTACTTCTGCTACTCCGCTGCAGCTACTGCTGTGGCTAATCCGTGATAATCACACAAACACACAAAGTGTCACGGTGTCGTAGGTCAGGGATGGGGTCAGTGGACACTAGACTCCGCCCACCTGCAGACAGACAAGACTGACCAGAATGTCTGAGCTAATGAGATTAACAGATCAGGAGGCAGAGATCACCTTCATTGTCATTTGTCTGCAGCCGCAGCAGCGCCCCCTGCAGTTCATCGAAATGAGGCCAGACGTTCACATCGATTTAATCGTGACACAAAGGACAAAAAAAAGAAAAGAAAACTGTGACAAAAAATAATTAAAAAAAGCAGTGCCAAAACTCATTTCAACCAGATTTAATTAAACACAAAATAAAAGTTCACAGTCAATGAATTTAAAAAGGGTAAACATTTGATGACTCTTATCAGAACAACACTAACAGAAAAACAAGGACACAGAGAGTAAACATTTACCAAACAAATAAAACTATACCATAAAACCACAAAAACAAAAATCCGAATATTCTATTTTTTTTACAATGATCTCATTGTAACTTAAAACAAAGAAAACCAAAATATTATCCTCATGATTAAACAGTAACTGCTGTCAGTGATTTGGTAAAATAGCGTTAGCTAACGTAAGTAGCTAGTTATGTTTGACCTGTATTTTTGTTTTGCTTTTTACACTAAGTAAACACTAAATATTATAACTGTCATTCAATTTCAATTGGCTGACATTTAAATTTGATTCAGGGTCAACTGAACACTTGCCTTAATTGTATTTAGACTGTTTATATCTCAGTGATAGATATAAACTAAATTTGACTCATTTTGAGCTCTCTTTTGACTATTAGCTAACCTCGACCTAACTTTTCAAGAACTTCAAAAAGTCTTTTAATCAACATTTTGTTCATTGCAGATTTACAGTCACTCTTGGCTAAACTGAAAAAACAACGTACGATCTTCAGTCTAATTTTAGATGATTTTAAGTGTTTTTAACCATCTTTTGGTTAACCTCTTGCTCTTTGTTGCCATAGAAAAATTAGGATTACTGTTCTCCATTGGTCCTGATTTAATTAGAATTTCTGTACACAGTTTTCTCAAAAGGTAAAATATAAACAGCAGTTTTAGCTTCCGGTGTGTTCAATGCTCTCATTATTAAATAAATAAAAACACATTCATAAGCATAACAGACACTTCTGACCTGAACAAAAAAAATAAACGTTTGAACTGAAGATGTTGTCATGAGTTTTGCTGAAAAATAAAGAAAATTATACTTTTAATAAACTGTTAGTTGTGATTAGATTTTCTTTTTTTTTTAAAAAAAGGATTGAAACTCTCACCAGCAGGGCGCGCCCTTTCGTTTCTATTGGAAGCAGAAAGTTTGCTAGCCCACATATGAAGCAAGCCACAGCAAACGGACTCAGAGCCAGAATCACTGACTCAGACATCAGCACCTTAAAACAAAAAACAAAAAAAACACACCGGAAATGGATGATGGAAAAACCAGACGACAATTGAAAGCACCACAATATTCAATATTGCAGATCTGAAACTGACCTGAGCGATAAAAGGCGCAATCATCCCTCCGATACGACTGAAGGACGTGCAGAAACCCATCCCCAGTGATCGAGCCACAGTGGGATAAACCTGAGGAACAACATCAAACATCTGTCACCGCAGTCCTGGTTAATGGATACATCACAGTGGAAGCTAATGTGGACACACCTCAGCTGTGTAAATATAAACTGCATTGAAGTTCATAGAAACCGAGGCCCGGACCAGGAACAGCAGCACCGTGAAGCCAAACCTGTAGAGAAAGGCGGAAAAAGAAGAATTCTCCAGTTGTACTCTAAGTCGTCTTTATGTAAAAAAAAATTAAACTTAAGATTTCCTGTAGGGATGTCAGATATTAGCATAATTATGTAATATCAGTAAGAATCGTTAACTGTTTTCCCTCCTATAATGAAAACCAGAAAACGCAGTGTCTGGGTTACGCCAGACAATGTGCGGCCTAAAAATAGTTTTGGGAAAAAAGGGTTGTATGTGAAAGTGAAAATCACTAGATGGCAGCATTGCAGCTCATTTTATTAATCTTTTAGGCGGGCAGCACTTAACTTTCTTAACCACTTGGCCACCACTGCCCCACTATATTGTTATCGGTTGATATCGAAATTGGAAATTAAGTGTTCGTACAATATCGGAATATCGGATATTGGCAAAAAGTTAATACCAGACATCCCTATTTTTCTATCAATAGAGAGATCTGATTCAGAACAAACATTGCCAACCAAAGTTCTTACATCGTTGTGCAGATGCTGAGCAACATAAACAGAACCGCCGCCAGGAGCTGCAGAATCGTCAGAGTTCTCCTTCGACCGCACACATTCAGCAAACAGATGTTTAAAGGGATCACTGTAAGGACATGGGAGGGGGGGGGCAGGACAGGTGGTCATTCTGAGATTCAAACAAACTCTGTTTAACAGATGGGACCTCTGCCCAGGAGGTGGCGCTCTGCTCGTAAGGTGACACATTAGCTTACATCCAAACTCTCCCAGGCAGCTGATCATCAGAGTCTGGTAGTCACTTTGTGCAAATGGGATGCAGTAACACAGTGAGTCCTCATGGCGGTGCTTCACTGAGTGTTCCTCGTCCGGGTCTATCACACATAATAAGTTTTTCTCCAGCAGCTCCGAACTGCTCAGAACAGAACCGTAGTAGGCAAAGGAAGCCACGAACCTGAAGGACGACAAAGTCCGAGAAGAGGAATTTAAAAAAAAAAAAAAAAACAGACACTGGGAACTGGACTGGAACGGTCCCGGCTGACCCTCCCCATGAGCACCAGAGGAGCAAAGATGTTCTCCTGAGGGCTGGACTGAGCAGGATCTTCCAGCTGCCCCGGGATTCCTGACACAGAGTTTGAGTTTTGACACAAAAAGAAAAATAGAATTATGCCAACAACAAAAAACAGAGATCAGACTAGATCAGCCCTTCAATTACAGATCCAGACTCAGAGTGTGCAGTTGTCTACGTCAACAAACTCATTCCAAAACATTACATTTCAATCCAATAACGCTGCTTTTCTGACTCACAACCGTATGTTTAGAGACGTGCAAAAAGAAAAAGTATCATTCTTGTAAAGTAGGATCCCATTAAGAAAAAAGTTATGTACATCAAGTGGACAACTGGTCAAAAGACGTCCAATTAACATCACTACATCAGCATTGGTCAGTTTCATGATTTCAAAAACTTTGTTTTTTTTTTAAAAATCAAATGTTAACTTTCCTGATGTTGATTTTGCATTGAAATATTAGATAGTGAGATATAGAAACTAAGACGCAGAACTAGCCTACCTCGGCCTTTTCCACCAGTCGTCCCTCGGGAAGTGACACGCGGTTCATTTTGGCGATCCACTGCAGAGTTCTAACGGCTTCATCCACATTTCCTGCCGACACATTGTAGCGAGCAGATTCTGGAATAAACTAATTAAAAAACAAAACAAAAAAAACAATAAGAGAAACATAACCACAAAAAAAGAAAAACTATCTCCTCACGACAACATATTGTCTCTTTAGTTTGTTTGAAAACGTTCTCATGTTGAGGTAGCAGCTTATAACCCATCATTGTGCTACATTCACTTTCGTTTGTTTTTTGGGAACTTTTTGCCCTTCATTATGACTTCCAGGTGTAACTCAGTCTCTTTTGATATTTTGTGTCCTAGATTATGATGTTACCACTGTGAAGACGTAGGTCAGAGGTGTCAAACTCATTTTCACCGGGGGCCATAGCAACAATACAGTTCTCTTGAAGGGCCGGTTGTAAATGGAAGAATGTATAGATCAGGGGTCCCAACCCCCGGTCCGTGGACCAGTACCAGTCCATAAGAGATGTTTTATTTTGAAAATGTAATGATCCTTAGTCTGTAGTAATGGGTGGTACTGGCTGACCAGTCCTTAGAACAAAAAAGGTCAGGGATTGCTGCTCTATAACAGACTAGTACACACAAATATTGTTCATTACTGTGTGATAAAAAAAAATTTAATTTCTCAGGTTAAGATACTCCGTTGCATGGACTTTATTAAATGCTTTTTTAGCTCCCGCGGGCCACACAAAACGGTTTGGCGGGCCACATTTGGCCCCGGGCCTTGAGTTCGACATATGCGACGTAGGTGAGTGAATTATGCAAGTTCCGGAAATCGAGCTCTGACATAAGTCGAGAATGCCCTGTATTTACTAAGGTAGTACCATACGGTGTACATGCATTTAACATCTAACAGATCGGTATTAGTATTGGCAGATACAGGTTGTAGTACTGTATTGGTACGGGACACAAAAACATGGTGGAGGATAAGTTGGATTTTTCACCTTGAAGAGAAAGATGAGGAGAATACTGGGAGCCACCGAGATCCTGATCATCCACCTCCAGCCCAGCGTCGGCACCACTTCCATTCCCAGGAGGATGATAAGCATGGAGCCCAACATCCAGAAGATCTGATGAACAGCCCCACAAACAGCATTCTGGGAGATCTGGTACGCTCATGACATCATCATAACCATATCTCAAACTACAGCGTGATAACGATAATGAAGTCAGGTCAGACTCACAGTGGCCAGAGGGAGAAGATTAGCTCGGTGCTTAGCTGGGATGAACTCCGTCTTCAACACGAACCTGACCACGACCGCACATATACGTTAGGATTGAATCAGTAAAAAAATATGTGTTAAAATTAGCGTTTCATGCATTTCTATTTATCCCAAAGTTTTCCATGTTAAAACCTCCCATAACATCATTATCTCCTGGCTGAGGAATCCCTTTGCAAATCTAAAGACAAAATATATAAAGAAATATCAACTTTTAGAATGTATTTTCCTATTTTTATTCACTATAATAACAATAATAACAATAATTATTCTATTTATTTCAGCTGTCACACTAGGTATGTTCAGGTACCATGGAATGACAGGATAAATCTTTTAAAAAATGAAATATTAGTTTTTTTCTTCATATTGTGTTGCCAATTTTCTAAGGCCCTCTAGCGCCCCCCACTTTGAAAACCAAAAAATAATTTATATGAAATGAAATATTTTTCAAAGGGTATATAACTAAAGGACATCATCGAGTGGTTAACACAGGAGAACAGATTCTAGGTAAAATATATTAATATATATATACATATATATATATTTATTTGAAGTAACATCTAATAAATAATCGAGCAAAGCTAGCAAAGAGCAGCAGAACTAGCTGAAGGAAGGTAAAGATAATAGCCACAGCCAAGACAAAAAAAGCTAAAAGTCTGTATTCCAGTTAATTTTATGTGTGTGTGTGTGTGTGTGTGTGTTTTCTGACCCCTGTGACACTGCTGCGACCCCACAGCCAACCAGGCTGCGCAGGAAGATGAACCAACTATATGTTGGAGCGAAGGAGGTGAGGAGGGAGAAGTAGGCGCTCCACACAAATCCTCCAAACACTACCTGGTTACACACACGTGCAGGATACACACGGTTACACACATATACTGTACATATATATATATGGTATGTGTACATGTATATATTGGTTCATTTTTTTCCTGTAGCTCTTACAGGGTCTAATATAACTTATATTTTCTCATTTCTGTCCCTTCTAACTTTTTTACTGCACGTCTTTTAGCTGTAAGATACAAACAAACCTCCTATCCTACAGTAGACCATATTTAATTTTTTTTTTTGTTTCAAAATTAAACAGTAACGTCACCTTCCAGCGTCCATATCTGTCAGAAATGTATCCGCTCAAAACACCACAGAGCATGAAACCGAGGAACACCATCTGAAATAAAACACACACACACACACACACACACGGTACAGGTTTAATTAAATACAGGTGAAACCTGTTAAAAGTCCTTTGTGATTCATCCTCAGTAATAGACATAGTAAAGGCCTCACCTGAGCAGCAAGGTGAGAATTAGGTACAAAATGCAAGAAAACCATAAAACCTAGGGATGTCCGATAACACCGACCGACTGATATTATCAGCACCGTATTAGCACATTTTGTAATATCTGTAAGAATCGTTGTTGTTTTTCCACCGATAATGAAAACCCCCAAATGATGGGTGCCCTAAAAATAGTTTTGGGGATATACAGCTGTATTTTAAAGCAAAGGTCACTAGATGGCAGCGTTGCTGCTTATTTTATTAATCTAATACAGTGGTTTGTACAGATAAGTAAATAAATATTGATATCCGAATTGGAAATGAAATGTTTGGACAGTATAGATATATCGGATATCAGCAAAAAGTTAAGATCGGACATCCCTACTATAAGCTAAACCAACAACACAAAAAGAGGAGACACTCACAGTGGAGACGAGTGCGACCTGCCAGTCCTGTAGATGCCACTCGCAGCGAATTTCAGGAGAGACGACGGCCAACAGCATGATCTCCATGGCCTCTACAATCTGCACACACGTACACACACAGGCAGCATGAACAAATGACTTATGTAAACATGCTAAAGCTCCAACATTTAAGAAAAATGTAAAACCAAAGTTTCTCCTAATGATCCTCTCCCCGTATAATACGTAGGTTTTGGCCTTTTATATGTCACTGAAATCAGACCTGAGAAAGAGAACTGTTGACGCTCGCAAAGCAGAAACGGGATATGCTAGGACTAGGTTATCAAAACATTTCCAAGAACTGGAGTAAAAAGTTTGAACCTGGTCCAACAGATTCTCGAGGTCGAGAAGGAAAAAACTGGAGTAAAAAGTTTCAACAGATTCTCGAGGTCGAGAAGGAAACTCACACAGTGTAACAAATATTTAAAAAAAAACGATAATTTTGCTGGATGATACACAAACATAATTCAGTGGCATTTGAAAGATTAACTTCTAAAGTTTGGAGAAGGTGAGGTATTTAGGTGTGTGTGTGTGTGTGTGTGTGTGTGTGACAGACATACTGTTGCACTCCCCATGATACAGAAGAGGAGGATGTGAAATCGACCAAAGCCTATGGTTTCAACTGCGTCTTCCACAGTGTACGTGAGCTCGGCTGCAAAACAGGGGTGAAGTTAATTGCTGCTGCCATCTTGTGGAAGGAGCAGAACTCCATGGATGGCAGAGGTAGGAGGACTGAGTGATATATAATCAAAACGGTACCGACTCACCGTCACCGCTGCTGTGGTTTGCGATCTGCTTCGATTTCTCCTGCATTTCCACCTCCTGCAGGTGGATGGCGTTCACCAGCTGAGTTTTCATGTGATCACCCATCATGTTTTCATCGTGTGTCTGAGGAACATACATTTCCAAACATATGACAAGTTTATAAACACAAACAGATGCAGACTGCAATAATAATTGATATTACAATTATTAATTTATTTTACTGTTATTAAAATGATTTGCGATATCCGTCCATGAAAATCCAAACTGTCATACTGCCTCTGTTTTCCTGTAGGACTCCTGTAGAGTCATTCTCCTTTCTCCCTGAACCTAGAACAGATCCATCCATTCTAATGTAGACTACACCGTTCACCTGTTCTTCTAAGGGGAGGCACTTTGAAAACCACTATCCTAAGGGATTTTTCAGTAGTGATTGCTCTGACACACAACTCCTCTGTTGCTATTGTAAACATTGTCTCAACAGCACTCAAGGTCCCTCAAGTTGTTTTTAACAATTTACTACTTCCACTTGAGTTACATTTTAATTTAAATATCTTGGGATGGTTTGATGTCATGTCTGAAATACGTATATGCCAAACAATGGTTCCATACCTGGGCCTCAGGCCATGGTTTTAGACCCACATTCTAACCTCAAAACAGTCATCAGATTACATGTTAAAAAAAAACCATGACACAACAATATAAATATTATATTATCTAATTAAAGCAGAGCTTGTAAAACGTGGGGGTAAAAATAGAATTACAATTAAACAAACAATCTTCATGAAATAAGCTCGTCATTTTGTTAAAATACAGTAAACACACCCTCAGTCTGTTGTTAAGCTAATACAAATATTTATTTAACGAAAATTAACTAAAGTATATGGTTAAACGAGGACGGAAATAATGCCGAATTTTCAGTGCTTCTCTTCTCTACAAGTACTTTCGAATACTTACGTATTTGACGACCTTTTACAAACAAAATACAAAAAAAATTAGAAAAGAGAACGAACTTTGGTACAATTACCGCTGGGCTCCACGGCACTAAAACGTCAGTGTCACCTGGGCTCCAAGCCTGATTAACGACTTTATCTGATTGAACATACCACCATTTTCCCCACTTACCGGTGCTTTTTGGTCAACCGAATCCAAAACCCCGCTCTCAGGGCGTAAAAGCGGGTGTTTCCGGTATTTTGCCGTCGTTCACCTGCAGCACAGGTACAGTGCATTAGTGTCGACGTCAGTTACACAGACGGGGAGAGGGGCGGGGCTTATATCGAACACGGAAGATTCAGCTTATTTGTTCACAGTCAAAATAGTTGTTACATTAAAGGTGCTAGAAGTTCGTTAATACTGATAAATATGTTTCACACTTTTGTTTACCATAAGTTAGACATTAAGTTTAGACCAAAAACAAATTGTGAAAAAAATAATATAAAAAAAACAGTACCTAATAATGAGTTGTTATTGCAGGAAGTAAAAAGTTAGCAATAACTGTAGACCCGATGGTATTCAATGTAGCAGGTAAAATATTCTTAAAAATCAGTTTTCTGTTAGCTAAATGGCACAATCAAAATATAGTAAACTAATTTCAAACTATGTCTGAACAAGCGAGAACTTTTGAACAAAGGAAAAATTGTTAATTGTGTGTAACCGTGTTAAAAAAAGTAAAGTAATTTTACATACAGAACCCTTAGTTCACAGCCAAGACACAGACGTCAAGTAATTTTACATTTCACTTAGTTCACAGCCAAGACACAGACGTCATAAATGACATATATTTATTTTTTCCACTCATTTGGTTAAAACTTGAAAACATTTTTTCAGCTGTTCTTGTTTTTCTCTATAGACTCTTCCTAAAGACTGTAACCAAACTAGTGACTGTCAGAGTGAAGTGTATTTTATGATAAACTTCTTTCCAAATGAACAAAGACGTAAACTATCCATCTGAAAGTGTCTCTTTATTTTTTCAAATCTCAGACCGAACAGCTCACCCATGTCGATGGAGCTGACGGTCCTGTCTCATGACACCTGATGGTCAGTTGAGGCTGTGGCAGTGTTCCTATGTCACCAGTGTCTACAGCCGGACTACACATGAACCTCGGTCTGAAGTGGCCACGGTGAAGCTGCCATTGGGAGAAGTCTGGAGACTCAGGAATGTGTTTTTTAGATTATGGACGACGGCCGTCATCAAAACTGCAAATCCAGAGCGGTCACTGAACAATCACAGCTTCTCTGAGCCAAGTCAGAGGCCTTTATCTGGACCTGCAGTTTTGACATGAACCAAACGTCTGAGATACAATGAGCAGTCCGAGAGTTGCCCGGTTGACGCATCACAATGACCACCACAGAATGTCCAGAAATGCTGAAGAGACGGTAACATTTTGTTATGTCGAGAGAATTGTTAAGCGTTTGACAAGTCCTTGTATTAGCACCATGTGATCCAGTGGGTGGGGCCAAGTCCTTCAGTTTGACTGACAGGTCATTTTGTAGTAACCATTCAGTAGTCAGATCAAATATCCTCTAAATATTTAGTTCTATTCAACATCAACTCCACTTTCATGTGACACTGCCTATTTCACGTCATCAAAATTATCACTAAAAAAAACAGGTCGTAACTATGATGGAGTTCTTTTCTACGTTCGATCGGTGGATGGATGGATGGTTGTATGGCACTGTGATGATGATCATTCGGCTCACACTTTACCACTTGTATTTTTAACACCTTGTAGCAGCAGCATGCTAACACGAATAACACAAGCAGCTAAAGCCTCAGACTAAATCGGACATGCTGAAGACGAACGAACCCACTATCTTCCACGGAACAGATCTTCAGGGCTAAAGTTGTCTTCATGACAGTACAAATAAGGCGGCAAAGACAGGAAACAGCCAGACAACTAGAGAGAGTGTTCCGTGTGTACCTTTTTCGAGAATTTGCACAACTTAAACAATAATTAGCACTATTTTACTGTCAACTCAAGAGGGTTTCTGGAAGTAAAAGCCTAATCTTCACCTCAAGCTGTACTGTGAGCTAACACTAAATAGCTTTAATTAAGGCATCAGTTTGAATACTGTCCAAACCATTAGTTGCTACAACAAAGTAAATGTTAAATGGAATGCAGCTAGGGTCTTAACCTAAACAAACTGCTACAACAGGTTTGCTTGGTGAACTGAATAGATAATATCATTGACTTTAGGTAAAAAATCTTGTTAAGCTCCTGTGAGTTAGCCCACAGCTAAATATAAGATAAAAACAAGTTGTTGTTTTTCCAGCTATTGTTGTTTTTCAAGCTATTTGCTTGTTGTAGTGGACGGCTGTTTTCTGTCAGTGCTCGTCGTCACCCACCAGTCGTCTGACAGACTACGTGTCCTGTCAGTGGCCGATGAGAGCAACAAATCAGAGGCATAAAAAAAGGCAATATTTATAACAGTGCATTGGCGCATATTTTTTTTCATTGCTACTGATATAATAATAAGCAAAGTGAGCAGCTACGGCACAACGTCTCAACAGAGAAACATAGGACAGCAGAACATCTACAGCGAGCGTAAACAACCGTCTAACAGTAGTTTGGTCTTTTCTTGTCAAAATAAGGTTACTTTCATATATAGACAATAAAAAATAAGTAACATCTTAATACTTAGATAATAATTCTAACATTAATATTGTGCTCATTCGATTTTATTTCTTTACTTATATCTGCATTCATTCTTATAAATATTTATATATATATTTATATATATTTCTCTTATCGTCGACCCTTTATTATAGGAACTGAACACTGCCACCTGCTGTCAACAGTGCAAGGACCTCGTTGATGTGGTTGATGAACGGGAACCTGATTCCTCATGGCAGATGGAGGTGTGAAAAGGCCATAAGTGGTTAATGACTTTGTTGAATTTAGTAAATCTTGAGGATGATGGTTAGCACCACAGGAAGTCTGGAGGGTCAATCCAAGACAGAACCTTGAGAGTGATGATACAAACCGAAGGTTATGGAGGATTGTCCGCACCTGAAATCCTGGAGGGATGATCCAAATCCAAGTTTGATGAGTAAATGTTCAAACAAAAAGTAAAGACTTCAACTAAGAAGGGCCTTGATGGACCATCAATTCTTATTCTCCTGCAGAGACCATGCATGATGGACTCCAAAGGAGGTTATCCACTCCAGGAGTCCAGGAGAAACAATCTCCTTCAGAAATCTAGGAGGAACAATCCACCACAGTTGGAGCTGTAGCAGTCCAGAAGAAGCAGTCATTCCAAGAGATCTAGACAGCGAATGTCTTGAGGAGATCAGGACATGAGGCTGGTAAAAATCGAAGTGTTTAAAGTGAACCATCCTTCCAGGACCACGGTACGCTCAAGAACTCCATCCAGAGTGACAAACACCGGAAAGTGTGGAGAGAACTTTGCTCCGCAAGTTCAGAAATATGATACTCCAGTCTTGGAAGCACTTCAGTGGGAACGTGAAAAGTCACACTCCTGTTTAATGAATCGCTGTTCCGAAAAATTATGGACAGAGAGAGATGGGTGGACAGAACCCTGTAAAGTACCGGAGGTCTTTAAGAGAAAGACGATGTGGATTGGATTGAGAGATTCTTTGCATTAACTGACTAAGACGGATCTGCTCCAAAGAACCAGGAGCCTGATCCTCATATCAGTCTAATGGTAGGTGGTCACAGCTGCCTGTTTCTGGGCCAAACGACGTAGCTCCTCCCTGATAGCCTTTATTAGTGAGGCAGAAGTGTGGGCCGATGGTGAGGCGTCCTCTGGGAGGTATTCTGGAGTGGGTGAAGTAAGGAGGAGGGGTGGCGCTGATGAGTCCCGCAATGAGGAGCTCGGCATCTGGAAAACTGAAGAAGAGGAGAACTCGGGGAATGACAGCACCTGTGGAGACAAAGAAGAAGAAGAATATAAGACCTTAATCTAGGGATGTCCGATAATATGGACCGACTGATATTATTGGCCCGATCAGCATAATTATGTAATCTCTGTAAGAATTGTTATTTATTTGTTGTCCGATAATGAAAATCCAAAAATGCAATGCCTGGTTTCGCCAAATATGCTGGAATTGTTTGTGAGGTGATGAGACGTTTACTGAAGGTTTGGGGCCACATATATCGGTATCAATTCATATTGGAATCGGAAAAAAAAAGTGTTTGGATAATATCGGATTCCAGCTAAAAGTTAATATCCGACAAAAGTACTTTGATACATTTTTTTTAAAGAACCACCATACTTGGTTATACAGAGCACTGATCGCCCTCCAGATATTATTACGTACACTCTCTCTGCTGTCTCCAGGTCTAGAAAGATCCTGGTCCGAAGGCTGCTGGTTCCAGCTCGATCCAGTGGGACCAGACATGCTGCGACCCACTCCGGGGTAAGCCCTGATCTGACTGGATAAACCCACCTGTGTCAGATGGTGGAGCTGTGCACCTGCAGTTAACAGTGAGTTGAGTCAAAGGTTTTCACCCCACACAAGGAAAAATAAAATCTATGGCCCTCAAAAGACTTAACCTGTGCTGCCCCCTACAGGTCGTGGTCTGGAGGATGATGGTGGGTCTTCATACTGTCCTCGATTAGAGTAAAGTGGCTCTTGCAGCTGATCTCCAGTGGAGGCATAGCCACTGGTACTTAGGCCCTGCCTGGATAAAACACAACGTGTGTCAGGACTGATTCAGTTAAACTTAGTGACCTGGACCTGGTTTCTTGGTTTTAGCAGACGCTAACCTTTGCAGGAGGCCTTGAACTGACGTAGGGGACATTCCCAGCTCCGCATATCTCTGCAGAAACAAAAAGAATACAACAATAAGAAACTTGCACAGTGATTAAAAATACATAGAAGGTTCTCAACCTGGGCTACCGGTCCAAGCGACTGTTGGCAAGGCAGGGCGTACTCCACTTACCCCGGAGCTACCTTGTGATGACGGGGACACCAAGGCAAAGGCATCGTCCAGGAGG